GCTTACCACTTGTTCTTGAAGCAAACTGCCACCAACATAACTGTAGGAATTTTCTAAATTCACGTGTACCTTTTCGAAAAAATATTTGTTTGCAATGCGTTTCCTGGGCCATGGAATTGTATACTGCTGCGCAATCAAATTTCCTGAAAAAAAAAACACTGGTTTTCGGAAAAAAAAAAAAACTAAAATTAAACTTTACCAAACAGCAAAAAAATGCTATAATACAGAAACTATTAAATGAAACAGCACCTAGTACTCGAGAAATTTGATTCCAAATTCACCACTAACCGTACGCTTTCGTGGAACCAAAAATAAGCGCTTTTGGTGGCTCATTTTCCATCAAAAGAATATGCATACGCATGTTGGAGCAGTACGGCGAAGTTGAATTACTGCTGCAAATACAAATGAATATGATTGTGTACGAATTAGATTGTAGGCAACTTAAAAGACCAAAACATTCCTATTCATCTGACTTTTTTTTAATACGTGTACATAAATATGTATTATATAATGTTTTTCTAACATATGTATATATATTTTAAAAAAATATTAGTGATACCATATATGTCATCATTAATATTTTTAAAAACTGAAAGTGGAATCTCAATTAACACTTGGTTTATTTCCGAAGTGTCTCCGTCTCTCACAAACAGCAAATTTGGAGAGGTTTTGACTTTTGACTTTGGCTGCCCCGCAAAGTTTGTTACTTTGGTCAAAGGTTGCTGCTGCTGCAAACAACCGTGAAACGCCGGCAAAGAAGCCATAAAAGTTTTGCCTACAAGGAAAAGAGAAGGAAAAGAAAGGTGTATTTTGCCTTAAAGCCAGAAACAGAGCTGAACCGCTTCCAGGTTAAATAGTAGAGCACGAGCGCTCATGGCATAGTGGTTTAGCACGATGCGTACGGGTGTGAAGAAGAGTAGTTCGATTCTCTACCGGTCATGAACTTTTGCAAAAAAGGGATTCGTTGCACTACAGCTGTCTCATCGATCGGGCGAAGACAAATCAAGCAAAAAGCGCTATTTTCATCAAAATATGTTAGCCTGAATATATAGGTAATTCTATTAAAGAGTAATGTTTACTATTTGGGCCAATAAGAGTCAAATTAATCGAAAAGCATCATTTTAATTGAGAACTGCGACATATTTTGTTTAACCTCTAAATTTAAGGTTTCCAAATTCACTGTTTTTTCAAATTTCACACGAACCTGATGTGAAAAGTGGTATGATAAGGGCATGTACTTGGTGGTGGACTGAGTTCGGCGCTCAAATAGCACTTCGACAAACCAACGAAGAGGAACTGTTCGGTGCCAAATAACTTTGCATAGCTTATGTTTTGGGGCACGTTTTCGCTTTTAAAGCTGATGGATACCAATAGTAAAGCGGCCAGTGTGTACCAACCGCGTAATGCTTGCGAATACATCATAGAAGTTCTGCAAAAATGTGAAAAAACTGGATGAAAAACAAACTTTCTTTAGGAAGAAAACGAATCGCAGACGAAATTTTACGAAAGAAAAAAGGACGGGGTGCCAAATTTCCAAAAAAAAAAAAAAAAAAAAA